ACTGGGACGTTCCCTTTCGTAAAGGGTACGCACGTCGTCTGCCACCGGTTGGAAGACCGTGGTCGTGGACTGGACACATTCGCCTTTTTGTCCCTTAAATTGGATTTTTGGGGAGTTTTCGTGGTCACAAGTAAGTTCTTACTTTCAGCAATGGATGCCTGACGATCAGTTCGATATCGCGATCGGACAAGCCTTGGAAATCGCGGCCGTCGCGACCGGGATAGCCAGTTTCGCCTCGGGGACCTGAAAGCCTCAATTGCTTGGTTAGCCAATCTAAAACCGTTAATAAATTCAAGAGCTCACAACTTCAGAGGGGCATTCAAGGAGTTCATCGCGCAAACTAGAGGTATGGACTTGACGAAGTAGGGAGCTCCCGTACGAAATGAAGTTCAGGTACCGTAATCCCAGTTTTGCACAAAAGGTTCTTCCAATGCTTCCCTTCGAAGTCATTGACGCCTACTAGCGCTTAAATTAATCCACAGGTCTGTCGTTCAGTCACGAATCTTCTTGGCTTGTAGGTATCAACAATGTGCAGCTCTACTGTAATCTCACATACCACACCCTTCAGCTTACCTTGAATTCCTTGTGGACCAGGGGGTCCGGGTGGACCAGCAGGTCCAGGTGGTCCGGGTACTGCCTGTACTGGGCCACCATATGGTGACTGTTGAACGAATCCAGGTTCTCCGGGTGGTCCAGGAGGGCCAGGTGGTCCTGCAAAAATATAACTTGACTTCTACATGGAAATATAAAATATCATGAAAAGTACGTGCCCTACACTCTAATGAGCGATATGTTCCATCTACGGACCTGTGGGTAGCGGGAGCTCGCAATTCAGTGTCGATGGCATTGTCTGCTGCCAATTGCAGAGTGTGCATCACTCTTAACTACGCACGCGCTTACCTGCCCTTCTTCGGCTCGGTATTCTTTTTGATGCTCGAAGACGCAGTCCACGCTGATCAAATGGGCGGGGACACATCGCCCTTGAGCGTTCTCATGACCACCTTCCTTCCTCTCACGGCCCTAGGAGGGGCAAGAAATGGAGGATGACACAGCGGTTCTCGGCGCCAGATAATCGGACAGTCCCCGTGAAGTAAGAGAACACGGTCTGCGGTGACCATTAATGGTTCACCAATTCAAAATAAACAGTTCCCAAGTACGAAAAATTAGTAATCGTTGGCCCCGTCAACTGACCTTCAACTCCTTGGGGTCCTTGTGGTCCGACAGGGCCACTTGGTCCTGGTCTACCATCGCGACATTGTTGGAGGCACTAAAAACCAACATTTTGATCGAACGCTATTCCAAAGGGTTCCAAGAAACTTACCACTCCTGGTGGGCCGGGCTCACCGCGTTCGCCTTTGAGAGCTGCTCGATCAGGCTCTGGAAAATGATCAATTAGTTTATATGATAACGAAACCCAAATATGGACTCTATGAGTCCTCTACAACACTCCGCGCGAAAGTTTTCATTTTTGTCGGCGAAAAAGCTCCGCTAGTCAGAACAAAATTGGTCGCAAAAAGCGTCAAAGCGCATTTCCAATTCCCGTGAAAAGCCCAGGAATAGGGATCGATAATCGATCGTTTTCGTGTAAGCATGCACACTCGGTCAAAACACAGTGTTCATTAGCAACTATCGTGCTGACAAGAAGACCTATAGAGGAATGTGGTGGTGAACCGTGTCGGTGGAAAGGCAGTAGGAGACTATCTCCAAACGGATATAACAGATCACGTTCATCGCGGTCTGAAACGTGGATTTTCATCTAGAAAATAGATTATGTAACGTATATTCATAGTCGTTTTCGCTGCAGACGCGGGGTGTGTCAGGGGGCTGGGTTCGGTGCGGCGCCAGCCCGTTCTTCACCAGTTCTTGCCGCTTTAAGAAGTGATGGAGAGCGGGCTGGTGCCGCGACAAATCCGCCCCTCCCCTGACGCAGCAAAGCATCTACAGTGAAAAGACTGTAAATATAAACGGTAACGCATCATGCATAGACAAGGACGTGCAGAACTGTGAACGTTTGGACACAGATCAATAATCGGACAATTCTTAAATGGGTACGAAAATGTTCAGGTGGTGCTCGTACACAACGAAAAGTGATTGAAAGAGAGGAGTGAGAAAAGTGCCAGAGAAAAAAAAAACTCAGAGAAAGGAAGGTAATGAATATTGCTCGCTCTGCATCTCTGCTGAAAAAAAATCTCTGTATGGTCTGGCGTCCACTTAACCGCTGAAAATGGCTTTCACCCATCCATCGGTTAGAGAGGGTTGGTGGTGTTAGAGCTGGTTGATTACCTCCTTCTCACGATCCGCTTTATCTGAAAAACTCATTAATTCCACCTCAAGCTTACCATTCACATAAGTTATCCTGTTCCGATCTGGAGACGGAACACCCAAAGCACAAGCCGATAGCGGCAATGCTCTGGTCACTTTTTAAGTGACCCAAGTTTTGCAAGGCTATTATATCATCGATAATCGGCAACTGCGATAAAATCGTGCGCGTTCACAGCTCATCAAGGTAAACGATCTTTCTTTCAGTGAATCTCTCCAGAAAAATCATCATATTTGGGCAATGACATAAGTTTTTTTGGTGGTTTTAGCAGTATTTCGAAGAAAGGCTGTTGCTCTCCAGCTTCCACCTTTATTTCCGCTCACATGATCACCTGCGAAAAGCACGATTCTCCTAGCTCAGTTGACTGAATTCGATTCGGCCATGGACGTCGCCACCGTCGCGTCGCGTGCTGCGCTTTCGAAAGGAAACATCAACAGTCTATATTTTAATTCGAGTTTCGATAATGACTTCCAGGAAGGCTGAATAGTCCGCCAAAAACGGATGACCCGGCCACTGAGGGATGGAGGGGATGTATCTTCCCACGCTGGTCTCTCATGAAGGCCACATGAGGACGAGCTTACGGTCCGTAAAACGAAGATTCAATCAGAAGGCTCGGGTAAGGACACTACAGAACCCTCTTACGATGCATTGATTCTACTTTCCTTGGTGAAACTCGCTTTGACTCAAGGAGAATCAGTGAATTGGTGGAAGAGGCCTCTTCAGCGCTACTCAGTATAAGTTCTAGGATGGCAAGCGAGGTATACAGTATCCAAAACGGTAAGTAGGGCCAGCGAGAGCGCACAGTACCCCTCTGTCCCTGCACCTGTCTACGGATGGGGAGGGAAATTAGCGTTGTTCTGGCCTCCTGGCTTCACCTTGGAGCTTCTAATGGCGTATGACACAGCTGATGAACATACTTCAGACTTGGGTAAGTATAAGTCTACGGTATGTCCCGTTGTGTGCGCTTACGGGTGCGACACAATTGATTTCATGGGCCGTTTTCGGGACTTCTGCATACCGTCTCTCTTAAACTTGTTATCTTGTTTTCATGCTTACCTGCTTGATCCTTGAACTGATCCAGAGGAAGTCCTGAACCTTCGTCATCGGTCTGCAAATAGCCCAATTATTATGTGCATCCCTAACTAGAATCGTTTGGGCAGAGGTACAACACAATAGCAGGAAAGCCACAACTCATAGCCAATGTCAATCTTAGACGTTTACGTCCATTCACTTACCTTGCCCTGATGACGTGCCTTTAGGATTTTCCGTTTCCGCCACTGAGACAGAATACGTCAAAACAATCACAATTGGGAAAGAAGTAGGTCACAGATAGTGGAAACGTATCGTAGTCAACTACGATACGATTAGAGAAAGGGGCGTGGCACATGAAAATTCTCATTTTGAAGACAATTCTCGCGAT